CGTATTGTCTCGCTCCATTCGTCAAGGTTGTCCGCTATCGCCTCTGCTTTACGTTCTTGCGTTGGAGCCTTTCCTTCGCAAGTTAAAGGCGAATCCGGTCCTACGCGGTATTTCGCTGCCTGGTGCTAACACTTCGGCCAGGTATTCTGCCTATGCTGACGACGTTTCGGTTCTTGTGTCGAGCAGAGCCGAGATTAACGAAGTCAGTAAGCAGATAAGTGGGTATGAGATGGTGACGGGGCCAAAATCAACCGCGATAAGTCTGTGGGCTTGCGGTTGGGTGCGTGGAAGGGTTTTCTTCCCGGACCTTTCCTCTGGACGGATGGGCCGAACAAGATACTCGGCGTCTGGTTCGGTCCTGATCTCCAGTTGGAAAAGAATTGGTCGGAGGTACAGGGGCGGGCCGAGGCCGCGGCTAGTCTGTGGTCTCGGAGGGACTTTCCCTGAAGGGAAGGGCGGAAGTTTGTGGTTCTCACATCTATCCGATCCTCCTCTACCGTCTTTCTGTGCTTCCACTCTCGTATGCCCGACTAATGTCATTAGTCAAGGCCTTGTTCTCTTTCTTGTGGAGAGGCCCATATGGCATCTCGCGAGATCTGCTGCCTTCATCCCTCTGAGGGCGGTCTGGGGATGCCTAGCATTGAGATTCGTCAATATATGCTACGCATTACCTTTCTAGACCGAATGTGTCGCGGTTTGGATGAGGTGGGCACCTTTTGGAAAGAAGATGTCCGTAAACATTTCCCATCCCTGAGAAGTGTGCACTCGTGCGAGGAGGAGGCCGGTCGTACTCCTCGTGGCGAGTGCTCCTTCTATCGTGAATGTCGTCGTGCTTTGAAGCTCCTCTTGCGGACGTCGGTTGGCCTCTCCGACGCCCAAGCGTTGTCTCGTAAGGCCTTATATCGTTTGTTAGTTAGGGGGTCCGTTCAAGATGATCTGATCGACGAGCTCGGTCTTACGAAGCAGGAGGCTCGCTCGATATGGCCTTGGGCGCCTGGGTTGAAATGTCTCAATAACGATGAGGCATCACTCACCTGGCTGATGATTCGCGGGGCCCTCTGGGTCGGCAAAAGACTTTGTTCAGCAGGCTTGGAGAAATATCCAAACTGTCGTCGCTGTACTGGGAATGTCGAGACCATTGGTCACGCCTTTTTTTTCAGTGCAGTGCGGTAGTGCCGTTGTGCAAGTTTGTTGAAGGCCTCATGGTTCGCATGCTGCAGGGAAAGTTTTTTGTCCTGGAAGCCAGTTCTGTTTGTAGCAATGTGGTATCGCAATTGACGAAGGCTGAACACTGTGTTCTGTTGCTTACTAGGGGTTATGCGAGTCGTGATTTGGACGACGCGACAGAAGGGATTCTATGAAGGCGAGAAGTTCACCTCTTCCCAACTGATCTTGTACTTTAGGCATCAGCTTAAAGTCAAGATTAGGACGGAAAGGCGGCGGCTCCCATCATCAGAATTCGGCAAAAGGTGGGTGAATCTTGCGCGAATGTGTAGAGTGAAAGGGGCTGACCTAGAGTGGCATTTAGATGTCGGTTAGGCACAGAATATTGTCCTAACAGGGTTGAACATAGGCAACCTACCCCGATATTAGGCTAGACTAGGTTTTTGTTTTTGAATATTTAGTTTCCCTTTTTTTTTCCCGTTTAACTTAGCTAGGGTATGTAAGCTCATTGGTCCCTTTTATTTCTGTCCCTATTTTTACTTTTGTTTAATTCCCCATCCCCTCCCTCGTTAGGTGGTTAGTGATGTCAGTTTTCTGGTGGATGCGGGGCGCCTTTCGTTTCGGGTGTGTGTTTTCGTATTTGTTGTTGTGTATGAATGAGTGAGTGTTTGTGTGAATGCTTTATGGTTTGAATGTGTACTCATTTTCTTAGTCCCGCTTCGATTTCGTCTGGTTGACTGACATTTCTGCCACATTCATTGTTTGTGGGGGGTTTTATTACTAACTCAGTTTTGTTTAGTTTTATTGTAAATAATTAATTCATTCTGTAAATACGCATTTGAGGATTTTAAAAGTTGTTATTTTATGACCCTCCCCCCATGAACAATATCTGTAAATAAGGGGACTAGTTAGGACGTCATAGAGAAATTGAGGTATTATGGTGGACGTAGTAAGAAAGGTAGGAGTGAATGTGATGTTTTGGTGATTGGATTATTGTTGGCATGTTTGGGTCAGTGTCTGTGACTAGCTAAGTTTTAGATTAAAGACAGAAGAAGACCGTCATTCCCCATCCCCCTTTTTGGCCTTGTGCCGCATTTGTTTGTATTTATTACGAAACAATAAATATTGTGTTGACTGGTTCACCGTGTTGGCCCGATCACACTCTGTATTTCACCTGAAGGTTCTAGAGGCACTTTACATCGGGTCCCGCAAGCCTTCTTTGTGCAAACAACGTGAGTGTTTGTTGGGACTCGTTGTCATCTGCCTCTAGTTCCTTCTTGCATATACAAACATTTATATATATATATATATGCGTAATTTTTTTTTCCACCTATTCTCATTGTACATTTCTCTGTTTTAATATTGAATCTCCCGTGGAAGCCTGACGAGCGGGAGCGAAACCGGTTGCTTCCCCCCCCCCTTGTTGTTGAGTTTTTTTTTTTTTTTTTTTATTATTTAATATTGTTTTAATATGTCTTGTAATATTAAATTTTATACTTTTATTTCGATCATTAAATTTTGTACCTACAAAAATATCTTTAAATATATATATATATATATTATTAGGAGGATTTGATAATTTTATTTAAGTAATTCATCGAGTCTGATAGAAACCTCAAAAGAATGCAGAAAGCACTGGACGGCCGTTTCGGACTCATATTTGGGACTCATCAGCAGTGCGCTGATGAGTCCCAAATATGAGTCCGAAATGAGTCCCACCGAGGCCCAGTGGAACAGTTGGTATGATGTTTGCTTGACAACATAACTGTCAGGGTTTCAATTCTCGGTAGTGGATGCGCACTGCTGATGAGTCCCAAATATAGGACGAAACGGCCGTCCAGTGCATTCTGTTGAGGTTTCTATCAGACTCGATGAATTACTTAAATATATATGTGTGTGTGAAGAAATATAGTTTTAAGATGTGCTATATTTATGGGTTAAAGTGCTCATTACCAGAGATAGAGCGTGTGTAAATATAAATATTTCATGCTGGACGCAATTGTCAGGCCGCCTGACGATTGCGTCCAGCATAAAACAGCCTGCCGCCTCTGAGTGTTGATTTCAATGTTCACTTTTTTTTTTTTATATATATATATATATATATATATATATGTGTGTGTGTGTGTGCAAGACAAAAGTTACCACAGCAACAGTGGTCTGGGGCAAAAAGTAAGAATGGTGTTAAGACGCAAAAGGGATACAGTCCTTTGATTATGGCGTTCTGATTTCCAGACAAATAATAATATGACAATTAGTCAATTTTATTGAATAGGAAGAAATCCCAGCATGCATCTGTATGATTTGAGGAGGGAGGATGTGTTTGCTGCCATTCCTATTAGATATGAATGAACAAAGACAACTTTGAATCATATAGAAGACAATGAAAACAACTTCATTATCTTTCCCAAGAAGAGTCATGGTAATTCACAAATATATTAAAAAAGAGGAACCCGTGGAGAGCTATGATCGTATCCGCTCTGAAGCATCATGTCGTTTAAAACTACTCTTGAATTAAGACTCTTTCTAGGTAGTGTTGTGATGAAACAAATACATAGATTAAATAAAACTAGTAGCAAAATAATAATACTTTGCTTCACGGCGTCGGCTATCAAGGTCCTTTACAATTTCCGGTCATTTGTAGCTTTTAATAAATTTCGACTTATTGTTATCTTCCCTAAACACCGTTCTAACATTCATTTACATAAATTTGTTCTTTTTCTTTTATGTGCTGTGTCTATTTAGGACGTTGAAGATCATGGCTCTCCACAATTTCCGGTCCTTTCTAGCTGTTAATATTTTTTTGTTATCTCTCCTAAACACTGTTTCGTTATCCATTTACACAAGCTTTTCTTCTTCTTCTTCTTCTTCTTCTTCTTCTTCTTCTTCTTCTTCTTCTTCTTCTTTGTGCCGTGTCCCTTCAGGACGTTGGCGATCGTGGATTTCTTCAGTTCATTGTCCTTTGTAATGCTGTTTAATTCTTATGTTCAACATGCCCTGTGAGTCCCAAATTTTCCAATCCCCCTTTCCTCATTATGTACCTGATAAATTTTAGAAGTCTCTTCCTGGTATTAAGAATAAATGTTCTTTTTGTTTCCATTTTCTCTAAAACTTCGTCATTGCTCACATGTTCAGTCTATGGTATTCTCAACCTGGGAAAGTTTAAAGATTCCCTATGTTTTTTCTATAAATATTTTCATGTTAATTGTTCCTTTGATATTTCATCTATGGTACCGAAACTCTATGTATTTAAAAACTGTACTAGATTGGCGGCTAGGTCTCACCATTTTACAGTTGAAATGGCTAGATTTAGCCGTAAGTTCTATACTAACAGTTTCTTCTCTCGCACTTCTCACTTGTGGAACTCTCTTCTGGCTTCTTGCTTCCCTGTCAACTTTTAAATGCTATGTAAATCGTTATCTTCTGTCTTCTTAATTCCTGTTATTTTAGTGTTCTATCTCCTAAATATTGTTTTTGGTGTCCATCTTCTTTTGCACTCAGCAATCCCCTTGCGTCTTAATGGCTTTATTGCCTTGTTGAGGTGAAATGATTAAAAAAACTACAATCTGGAAATTTTTTTCAAGTTTATGGTTAACCGTTATCTTTTCTACATAACCTCATGAACTTTTCTGCGCTCATAAAACGCTACACAGTAATCTTCTACCATGGGTGGCTCTTGGGGCTTGTATTCGGTGGACATTAGTACAAAAAAAAGCTAATTAATTCTAGAATTTCCTTACTAGAGAGCATGGTTTGACTTATCTATAACATTTTTGGCATAATTTCCGGTACTTAATCATATTATTCTACTTACAGATTGCCTAAACGATATTTTTCTCTCCTGGTATTCCCTAGTGGTTACCCAACTTGGTACTGGCCCGGCTCATTGTTGCTTACGTTCGGTGATCGGACGAGGACCAGTGTTTCAACATGATGTGGCCGTAAACCGGAACGAGTTCGTTGTAGTTACCTTCCGCTATTGTTTAAATAGCAGGACAGAGTGGTCTCTGAAGCTTGTTTGGCAACCAGTCTAGAATTAGGATCTGCCTATATTTCTGAGATGACCACATATGGAGAGAAAATGAAGATCATCGCTCACTGTGTAATCAGGTTGAAATCATAGACAAAGAACATCATTGGAAAATTCGTAAACTTAAGGAATCATCACATATGCTAGGCCACAAAAATCTCCTGAACCGACCAATCATAGAAATGAATACAATATGGGAACCAGTAATAAGGAGGACCAGAGAAAAGCAATAATAAGAAATATGATCTCTGGTAAAAAACAAAATATATAGAACGATAACAGCAAAAATTGTAATATGAGCACTGGTAAAAAATGATTGTTGAAGACATTAAGTATATAACTCCCAGAAATTCATACACAGATGTCCTCAAGGATACAAGCACAGTGGATAAAGGCGTTGGTTAGATCCATTGACAAAATCCAAAGAGTTGCGAGTTCAATACGTGGTTAAGATAGTGGAGAACTTGGAGAGGAGAATTAAAAGAAGTTAACTGATAACTGACATCCATTAGATATGGCACTTGGAACTAGAACAGTCTACCCCAGCGAGCGAAATAAAGGGTTCAGTTCGACATTGAAGAAGGTCGGAGCGTACATCAGTCGAAACGTTGTGATAAATACAGCGACAAAGATGAGTACAATAGTCCGGATAATGTAAATAGTCTAGGATTAGGACAACTCAAAATTTAAAATCGGTTGGGCATGGGGTTAGTAACCCCATTCCGTAAAAGAATATGAAGACTACAGGAGTTACGCCTAGTGTGCTGAGAGTTGTATTACCATAATTCTCATTGATGATATTTAAATATGAGATAGTTTCCAAAGAAGTGCATTACTAACAAGACATAAGAAATCTTTCAATGACTGGCTGCCCTCGCCAGTACTATCGTAGAAGCAGTAACTCAATTTGGGAAGTGTGCGGTCCTATAAATTTTGTTATTTCTCTTATCGTATGTTATTCACCAATGGTTATAAATTGAAGCCGAAACTGACTTCAATGCCAAATCAGTTTATCCACTATGTTCTATCCCATGATTCATTGTGATTGTCTGATCCCTACCCTCTGTCGTGCCAGGCTTAGTTTCAACTGCCAGAAGAAATACTCCCGCTGCTATAGCTTTTTGAGTCGCAGATTTACAATCTCCACCAGTACATCAAGTTGAGAATTACTAATATAATTATTGATGGAGATATCTTGAAAAAGAACTCATCATCTTATAACCCAACGCTCAAAGAAGAAGGGAGTTGATGACATCATCAAAAAGTTGATGTTCCATACTAATAAATAAGAGGTTAAGTATACCAAAACTACGATCTGACTTGAGAAACCTTTTTTCCTGAAAATTTTCAGAGAAAGATTTTTTTAAATTTCATAACTTATTACTACCAAAGGTGAAACTTGACAGAGGTCCAAGCAATACTTGGATCACACCGCCTAGTCCATTCGACTGTCATTTATGTTTCCGTTTGATTTCGTTTGTTTTATGGCATATCAACTTCAAAGCGTATTTAATGCCAACAAAGGATTTTTCTTTTTTTGGTTTGTTTTGTTTTGTTTTACTCAATAGGTTATTTAATGCCGACAAGATCTTTATTGCTGGTAATATTTTTTCACAAATGTATTGCCTCGAATTTTTTTTTTTTTCAAAAACGTAAGATTGTGTTTTTAATAATTTTTCCTTCAAGAATGTATTTCTGGTAATAATCTTCCTTCAAAAATGTATTGCCGGTAATAAGTTTTCTTTCAAAAATTCATTGCTGGTATGAAAACCTATTTTTATATTTCCACAGCGCCCTGACCCAAGTTTGGGGGTCAACCACCTGCCCACAGCCGGGACCCAAACAAGCGTCTGTACCCCGGCTCGGGGTGGAACTGGAAACACTAAAAATCAAGAGGCGGTTCCCCGCTCCTCAAACTCCCCGATTAGAGGTGCTGCTGTCAGATGCAGTTTATCGTCTTACCCAGGACGCGGATGTAATTTATCGTCATACCCAGGGCGATGTCTGATCTAACATTTCCGTTTACATGTTTAAAAAAAATGGTTTTAATTAATCTTCTATTCAGACAAGTTAAACAACAACAAATATCTAATAAAAGAAAAGTGTGACACGGATTTTTGAACGAAAACCATCAAATTCATTTTTTCTTTTGATTTCATTCCAAACCTGCAATTCTTTTCTAGAGCATTGCAAGAATTTACAAAATTAACAATTAAAAAAATAAAACTGTAAGCAGGCCGGGCGGTTTTTATGTACATATACTGGATGCAGGTTCAACAAAGAGAGAAATGAATAAATCCTGGAGCAGCAGACAAAAAAACAGCGGCGGTGAAACCTCATCAGCGTTCATTCAAACGAAAACGGAAACAGACATATGCGCAAAAGTGAATCACAAAGAAACAGGTCAAGTCTTTTATTTCTTTTTTTTCCCTCCCACCTTCCTATGAACTCAACATATATTATTCTAGTCTTTGATAGAAACTATGATCTGGAATTGAAATAAAAGCAGTGATGGCACTTACTCTGAATCCATCTTAAAATTTGAAGATATGAACTTAGTAAATGCTAAACACTTCAAATATCTCGGTGTGGGGATCAGTTATAATAAATTTAGTATAGTAGAAAAGGAAATTGAACATAGAATAGGCTGCGCTAGATATAGTTTTCCCCCAACACTGCTGACTGCTACAAAACTAAAACATTAACCTGAAAATTCGAGTCATGTTCTTGTAGATATTGTTTGGTGTGTAGGATTTTCTTTACTGGAAACTTTGGAATAAAAACGAACTGACTTAAGAGTTTAAAATAAATAATATATTTTTATTTATTTTCTTTAGAGTGAGGAGTGAGTCCTTTGATATTCGGCGTAGCAAAAAGGTTCGTTAATAAGGTGGATATTGGTAGCAGTCTGGAGAAATATCCAGCAAAGATGTTTTGATGTAAGACCATAACAGGGTTAGTAGTAATGTCAAAAATTAGGCCAGTATCAATCTACGATGTTTTTCTCGGCTCTGAGCAGGGTGGAAATATCAGCAGCAATTGACATTTTAACTGCTTCTTCACGCGTCACGGATGGCTGGTTTGTACTCGGCATTGTTCTTTTGTTCCGTCCTCTCTTCGTTCCATCTGTCGCTAGCCAAGAGGCGTCAGGTTTATGTCCTTTTGGCCAATGTTATAAAAAAAAAAGTAAAAACAATTTTATATTAAATAATGAAAAAAAAAATTTTATATTATATTTTCAATCTCGAGCTATTATCCATTACACCACTGGCTATCCAAGCACCTGGTATTCGCAAGAGATCACCCATCTAGGTACTGACTGAGTTTGACGTTGCTTAACTTCAGTGATCGTACGAGAACCGGTGTTTCAACAGAATACGACAGTAAGCCTAGAAGATAAGAGGTTAAACCTCGTCAATACTAAAAAGAGCGATAACAGCTACCGGACTCAAGTAACGTTTTTTTCCTGAAAATCTTGTTGAGAAAGATTTTGTAAATTTCAACCGGTCATTGAATGCCAAATGTTTTCTTACAAGGAAGCGGCTGATATTATCATTAACATTAGAGATGAGTAGAACAGGTACTACACTTTGATCCCAGTTTGAGTGCCAATGAGTGAATAAAAGCGTAACTCGAGTCGCACTCGCTGCTCGGTCAATGAATTGCGAATGTTTCCTTATAAGGAAACGGCTCATATTATAGTACCACTAGAGATGAGGAGAATAGATACTACACTTTGATCCCAGCTCGAATGCCAAGGAGTGAATAAAAGCGTAACTCAAGTAGCACTGGCTGTCCGGTCAATGAATGCTGAATATTTTCCTATAAGGAAACAGCTATTATTACTATTACTATTAATCCAATATCTTTCAAAGTCTATAGACGTTTTTATCTATATGTTTTAGTTTTAGGCGCTGATTTCATATCGACTTCTTTACATTTGGTTTAAATCTGAATTCGTGTGACATCCTGGGTATGATGATAAACTAAATCCGACAGCAAGGAGATTTTGAGGAGAGGGGGGACCAGCATTTATTTCCTGTTGTTTCCAGCTCCACCCTGACCCGGGATGGTAGCACTTATTAGGGTCCCAGCTATGGGTAAATAGTGAACCTCCAAACTGGGGTCAAAACAATATGAAGGGTAAAAATACATTTTTATAGTAAACATTTCCAACAATTGATTTTAATAATAAACAAAAAAAAATTATTACATCTTCTAAAGGAATTAAATCACTGCATGAAATGACCCATAAGGTGTTGGTATGCCATTAAAGAAACGAAACTTTAAACAATCAAAACGACGACGTGGCCAGGAGACATGATTCTCATCATTAAACTACGTAATACAGATTTGTTGTCTTCACACACACACACACACACACGCGCACACACACACACACACACACACACACATATATATATAAAGAATAAATCATTAAAGTTAATGTAATTAATGGCGAATCTGACAGATTTAAAAAAAGCATTAGACACTCATTAAATGATTCGATCCTTCTTTTTAAAAATTGTAAGATGTTCCGTATGTTCCGTAGATATGCTAGTACTTTCGATAATTCTTATTATCATCATCAGGCATGGATATTATTTTTCCTTTTTAGGTAAATTCAGGTAACTTCCGAGACGAAAATAAATGTAATACAGGTCGAAATATTTTTTTTTCAAAATGTCTTATAATTAACAGTTACAAAATTTTGGAGCGTGCAGTGGCACAAGGCTAGAGTTGTATTTTGAAAATTTTAAATGGGAAAATTTATTTTAACATAGTAATATGGCAATGACACGATGTTTTTTGTTGCAAGTGTTTTATCAGTCAATGTGTGATGGACCAAATGGTCGAATAACAAGAGCAATGTGCCAGTATTTTTCCCGAACTTTTGCATTGCCGATCGGTCCTTTTAAATCTATCAAATAATAATAAGAATAATGATATATATATATATATATATATATATATATATATATATATATTAACTGATTTAAAAATATGGTTTCATCGCTACATAGGAATTGCTATGATATTAAATTTAAAAGCACTAGTTCTGTTTCATCTTCAAGCGAATTATGGATTCCAAAATTCGCTTGAAGATAAAATAGAACTAATGCTTTTAAATTTAATATACTTGATTTTGAACTTTTTGTTTTCTGTTTTTGAAACATGGCAATTCCTATGTAGCGATGAAACCACATTTTTAAATCAGTTGATTTATAATATTTATGCTCTGTAAATTTACATTGAGTACTGTTTTGTAGAAATAAAAATATCAATAAAAACGCCGGATTACATATCTTACTGTCCTTCCTTTTTATTATTATTATTATTATTATTAATAATAATAATAATAATAATAATAATATAAACAAATCAAAATATATCAAAATCGGAATAGCCGGTTTCCAAGTCGACAAAAACGTGCATAAAAATAATGTACATGCTTCCAGAAAAAAATCTTTTGTCATTAAATAAGAGCAATAATTTCAGGGAACGCATTTTTCTTCACGAAGATTTCTTGGCTCCGCAGACTGATAGACGTAGTACACACTGTTTAATACGTAAAGATGAGGCGTCTACTTCAAATACGAAGTGTCTATTACAGAAATGTTTCAAGTAAAAAAATTTGAATTAAAGATAAATAATTCTGATTATATATATATATATATATATATATATATATATATATATATATATATATATATTGACGTTGACAAGACGGCTTACGTTTCACTTGTATGAACATAGTTTTATCTCAGAACATTTAAAGAAACACTCATGTCTACATTCATAGTTTAGACAAATATTAGTCTAAAATACATTAGTAGTTCATCAATTAATAATAAGCAAAAACTTAAAATTCTGAAATTGCATAAATAGTCAACTATGATCATAACAACAAAGTTCTTAAATATTTGTAGCAGCAAAGTGTTATATAAAAATACTAAATTAAAATATAATTAAAAAATCTTTTTCTTTTTAAAAATAATAGAAAAATAACCTCCCTTGTATATCGTGGGAAAAAAATTTCGAATTTGAAACGCTGGAAACAAGAAGTGAAAAACTATTTTGAATTTACGGATCTACTTTATCCACCTCCACAGATATGTTAACCCCCTGAAGATGGTCTCAGATGAGATTGAAAGTACTTCGGAAAATAAAAAATTATCTAAAAGAAATTTTGGGAATTTTTCTTAATCAATTTTCTACAGACACGAAGAAATTAATTCGTAGACTTGAAAGCATTAAAACTAAAATAAATAGACATATGTCTAAATTATTTAACCAAACCTGCTTGAAATACCAAAAATTCACAAATCGAGCGAAATAAAAGCAGCTATCCAGACACAAAAATCTGAATATATTAGCATCCCAAAGCCCACCAATGACCTTACATTCAGACCCATAGTAACAGGACCAGCCTGTCCAACTATCAAACTCAGTAACCTAATAGACACAATATTACAACCATTTACTAAGCAGATTAAGAGCTACATAAGAGATGATATTCATTTCCTTAACTGCATTCCACAAAAAGTAGACCCGGGAATGCTTAGGGCAACTTTTGACATTAGTAGCCTATATAGTAACATACCCCATGAATTAAGTAAAAAGGCAATCTTATTCTGGATTGAAAAATATCCAGAAATACTACATCCCAGATTCAATAAGGAATCCATTATCAATAGTATAGACCTAATTCTAAACAATAACACATTTGAATTTGACAACAAAAACTATATCCAAACCCTAGGTACCGTAATGTGAACAAAAATGGCACCAACATATGCCAACCTAACATTAGCTTACCTAGAGGAAAACCTCTATGAAAAGAAATATATTGGGAAAATATAAAAAAACATTTCACTAAATCCTGAAAACGATATTTAGGTGATTGCTTCATTTTCTGGTAATATTCATGGGGTGATATTAACCAATTCCACACTCTACTTCAAAACTTACACCCAAAAATCAAATTCACCCAAGAATATAATTTCAACGAATTACCATTTTTAGATATACTCATTAGAAATAAAAACAACCAAATAATCACAGATATCTACCACAAACCTACAGACACCCAACAATACCTTCATTTCAAGAGCCATCACCTAAAAAGCTGCCTGAAATCCATCCCCTATTCTTTAGCACGTAGGAATTGTACAATAGTGACTGACAAACACCTCCGAAAAACCCGCCTAGAAGAACTAGAGAGAAATCTAAAAAAAAAACAAGTCTACCCCACAACACTAATAAACAAAGGTTTTGAACTCGCAAAAAACATTCCTTTAAACGAACTACGAAATCCAAAGAAATGTAACGTCGAACAAACTCTAGCATATGTTTCAACATACAAGAACAATCCAGAACTATTTACAGAAATTACAAAAATTATTCTTACCTACAAATACAAGAACAAAACTTCATAAACAAATTTAAACCAACCCTAAATAGATCATAACCCCACACGCAAAAACACACAACATGCACACGTAATTGCCAAACAGAGTGGTCAAACCACTCGCATCCATGCGCACACACTCACACGCGGGTATGTGTGGAGCACGTATATGTATACGCATATTGGCAAAAACAATAGACTGCTCACAGGCACGCGCGTAATCCCTACACAACATAGGAAGTGTATGTGTGTGTTTGTGTGTATGTGTATGTATGTATATGTGGTGTGTATGTGTGTACATATGTGTATACTAATTCCTTATAATAAGACAGTATGTATGTATGGAGAGGGAATATACGTATGCGTACGCATACTGACAAAAACACAAAAAATGGAAACAGGGGTCATTAAAAGGTTAATATATATATATATCTTTCTCGCCCTTTCTCGGACCAATCTTAATTGTTTTATTACCCTTCACGCAGAACTTTTTCACTGCCAGTTCAAGGAAGACATTTGGGTTACTAACACACAAAAAATAGAATGTCTAATATCGCTAATATTTAACATCGAAAAACATAAGAAAATTTAATTCCTTTTAATCATATGTGGAAATATCCACTCTTTGCCTGATGAAGGTCGCGAGACCGGAAACACGTGTAGAAAAATTATGGAAAATAAAGCATAATATATTTTTTTTTTAAATCCACGTTACAACCAAAAACGTTTGCGGTTTCTCTCTTCTTTTTAATATACACACTTTTCCCTTGTTGGAACTACTATAACCTCTTCCTCCTATATATATATATATATATATATATATATATATATATATATATATAACCGTTGATGGAACCAAGAGACAACTTACGTAGGCCTAAATCTCTTATCCAAATAAAGTCAAGAATTTAAAATAAAGAGAAAAAAGGCCTAAAGGCAAACTTACCTACTCAGTAAAGT